CTATCGTAAGTTTTTTAATTGCCACTGTATTTTTTCTCTATCCTGTAAAAGTGTGAAATAATAACAGAGAGGAGGACTACATGTTAACATTTTGACTTCTTATTTAGGCAAAAGAATCTTGTCCACATGTTAAACCAAAGAACAAGAAATAAATGGACTTGCAAAACAACAAATGACACAGCAAGGACGATATACAAGAAATATTAGATCAAGGCAAGAAATGAAACATTAACTTTTGTAAATGTTATGCTACTTTACGGCGATTTTATTTCAAAACAAACGGTCGGTAAATGTATCATTCATTTAAACCATAATATTTGAGGATGAACTAATGTTACGGTTGAGTCACAAACAATAGGTACGTCGAAGATGATAAGAGAAAGCCGGTTATAAGGTCATACAAAATTAAACGTTTAATATTAGGCAGTTATATTCTACGCCTTTTGTAGTCAAGCTGTGTGTATCTATACCAGTGAAATAGGTACAGTACAGTTTCACTTATTTAAAGTAAAAAACTTAAAGTGTGATACTTTTTCGGTAAAATTGTATAGTAGTGTCGTTGGAACCTTATGATCGTCCACTTCCATTGCCTCCAGAAGCCAAGGAAATATCTGGGAGTCCGATTCAGGCAATGGACCCGATAAAAAGTAAGCATAATCTTCTATAAATATTCTATTATGGCGTAAAGTTACTAGACCAAAGAACCTAATTTGAAGGGTGGCACGAGACAAACTTTAAAAATCAATTTTAGACTTTCCACCTAGGTACTAGGTCCATCACCTAGGTACTATACTAAACTTGATAAAAAAGTAAAATTAAGCTGGAACAACCATATAGGTTTTCCAATCAATCGACTAAGCTCAAATAAAAACGGAAATTAGTGCAGTTACATAAACTGGACAAATCTTGTTTTCATTCGTTATTCAATGATATAACGAAGCAGCATAGCAGATAAGTACTACAATTAAGGGCGGAAGGGTGCCGCCGTCTATCATATAAACCACGGTTTTTGCCAATTTTTTTTGCATTTGCGTTTGTCGCTTTCTTGGTTTAGGGTCCAAATGTAGTGGCGCATTATAGATTCATTATATTGACCTCGCTACTTGTCTTCAAATTCAACCACGGTCTGATAAAATTGCTCGCCATGCTCTTACGAAAAGGATAGAACATTCTACATTTTCTGCTTTTTGATTGCCCAAAGACTTTTTTACAACAATTATAAACATACGCCACTTCTCTGTAATACTTAGAAGAAGTAAAAAGAAACAAAGAGAAACTCGCTTTGGATGGTCATTAGAAAACCAATGATTTGAAAATCTTTAATAATTGCCCAGTGATTATTGTTAATCTTCAAAACTTTACGTTTTCAAATGCCGGCTGTGTACCCGCGTGAAGTTAGCCCCCCAACATTAAAATAATGAAACGTCAAATACTGCATTCGTTTGCACTTTGATTGCACATTTCGATTTGTGATATTAAAAGCTACATTTTTACAAATAAATTTTGCAAAACTTAATAAAGTAAATATTGTCATGAAGATCGCCTCACAAATTTCCAGTACTAACGAAATAAACGTGATATCGGAAATGGTGTAACAGAAATCAAACACCCCGTTTCCGAAATAGACAAACTAAAATCTATCAGTGCACTCATTTAATGACATACGATCAAAATGGGAATGTACCCTTCCCTATTTATTTTCTTAATTTCTTTTTTAGGGAGGCGAAATCGAATAAAGTATAATATACAGTTCTATTTTAAGGTTAGGGCCCAAAATTATGTAAAGGGAAAATTTGTGCTTACATAGGCAAACTAAGTCAAAAACGAATTAAATCTATAGCGCTCCATTATTTTAATGGAAAAAATTGTTTACGTCAATCAATCATATTAGTATTCAATTTTTTGCATAATAAAGACGGAAAATTGGAAAAATAACTTTTCCAATAATCTGTGATGCCATGGAGTTTTATAATAGAAAAACTACGCCAATATCCGTGATGCCATGGAATGTCTGCTATAACACAAATCAAATTCTATCAAAAAGTATTATATTTAGAACCGAATTCAACATAAAGAAAGACCAAATTACTAAAAACGGTTTCCTAATATAACAATTTACAATAAATGTTCGAATAAGTCTCCATTAACTGCAAGATATTAACCAAGTCGATCATAAAATCAATTTCGAACTGCTGCTAATTGATAACTGGATATCTTTTTGTTTTAGAAAATTCCATGGCATCGCAGATTATTGAAAAAGATGCGGGTTTTATTTTTCCAATTTTCCGTCTTTATTATGCAAAAAATTGAAAACTAATACGGTCGATTGACGTAAAGAATGTTTTTCTACAAAAAACCTTAATACATTTTTGCTCTAAAATAATTTGGGGAGCCAATAATCGCATGTTATGAATTTTGCATTGAAATCCCTGTATAAATAATACGTGGTTTCGTCTTACAATTTGAAAAACTGAGGTTCCTTAGACTTTTAAGGATTCGACTGTAAAAAAGAGCACTAAGTTATCTCGCAAGGTTTAAGAGACATGCATTTTTGAATGCGCCCTTGCAGCTTCAAATTTTTAAAGAAAATTGACGCATGTGAAAAACTATGACAGATAGGTACTTAAATCTTAAATGTAATGAATTCAGAATAAAACGGCGCATTTATAAAAAAAATAGATAATAGAATACTTCTGGTATTTACGGAAGCGCCGCCATCTTGCCATCTTTATCTTATTTCAATTCGCAATGGTCGATTATGGCTGTAAACCAAATTTTAAGTTTCTATTCCTAATGCAAGTTTATAAACTTCTAACGAACGAGCTACTAGAATCTTCCTCTATAAAGCAGATATCTGAACAATTCTAAAGGGAAACGGAAACAAAATTGGAAGAACTCCTGATGAATCGACTTTAAAAACAGGAAAGAAAAACTGAAAACGTATCTAAGCAAAAAAATATCAATACAACAAAGACGATATGTATATTAAAGAGTGCTTCAAGCAACATGGGAGAAAAGACAAAATTTAATGATTTTTTTTTGTTAAGCGTAAGCCATGCGCGTCTATAATCGAAAATATAAGAAAATAATAGCCCTAATATACAGAATATCCGAGTGTAATTTACTATCATATAAAATCCATGTTGTCGTATTTCGAACCCCAAAATTTAGTATCATTAGACTGATATTTGTAGTGTCTATAGTTTGTAAGGCCATATTCTATTAATTCGGTCGTTCACGATATCATTTTAATGGCGGTACCCAATTTATGGTATATTAAGTAAATAGTCTGAGGGACGTTTAATGGCTGATTGCTGCGGTTTAATTTCATAATGGCTATGCCATCCAGCGAATGTTTAGTAAACTTCTTTTTCTCAAAGAAACTAATTGGCCTCTGAGCATCGAGAAATACTTAATTAACAGACGGGCAATCCTGGGGGAGTAGGCGGGAAAACGTACAATGACAGCTCAACAAAAAGAGACACCGAAATGTATATTTCCGTCGGCATACATCTGGATTCTAATTTTCATAGCAATTTCCTTACATTCTTTTCCAAGAATAAATTATCTGCACAGTATTTCCTAACATAAAACACAATTCCGTACGATACTTAAGTACTTGAAAAAAAGAATGTGAGGAACAAACCTGAAATTGGATTAAGTTTTCTATTATGTATGTAATTTGTTTTACGTTGTACATATGAGAAACAAAAAATGCAATGTCTCAAACACATTCGCTCTAGCGATAAAGTCAAAGTTTTTCCACCGCAATTTCAACAACATATCAAAATCGATGGAAACAGCGTATGCGATGCGACGAGGGTACTGAATAAGATTGACGTGCGAATAGGGCTTGACAAACACAAGCAAAATGGGTGTACAAATCAAATATTTGAATAAATAATCCATTTAATAATTGGTAATGATGGCTTTTAGCGTCGAAAAGCACAACATTTGAGTTTTTTGTCATCGTAATTCCTTATATGAATAATTAAAATAATATTTAGGGAAATTGAAATTGAAGTTTTTTAAACTTTATGCATGACTGAAGAATTAATTAAATGCTTTTTCTTATAACTAACTACACATTTTATCCTCATTTCGAAATTTAAATGGTACACCCTGTATGTTTTTACATTTTTGGAGGATTCTACAAACAATTTTACACACAAGATTTGTTTTAGCTAATGTATGTATGTATAAGGTTGGCCGAAAAACTAAATAAAGTTTATTTCTTAATTGATCGTTTTTTATTGATTCTAAAATCTACATGTTTCTACTACAAAAATCAATTTGGCTTTGAGTATAGTCTTCAATAAATCAAATATTTTAAAAAAATTGTGTATTGTGTC